TGGACCGGCACCTGCACCTTGGTATATCTCACCCCCAACATCAATATAGTCCCCCAGGATGCCTCCCTGCCTGTTCTCGATGTCACCCTGATTAATACAAGAAGACACAAACAGGCTATATAGCTGGTACCCCTCCTCACTGCCCTAAGCATTACAGGAGTTTTGGGACTCGGGGCAGGTGGGTTAGGAACCTCTCTATCATATTTCCACATCCTATCTGAAGACCTGCAAAATTCTTTAGAAGAAATAGCCTCCACCCTTCTCAGCATCCAAGATCAACTAACTCCTTAGCAGCAGTCACCCTTCAAAATCGAAGGGGCCTAGATCTCACTGCAGAAAAGGGAGGTATATGTGTTTTCCTAGAAGAGCAATGCTGCTTCTACCTTAACCAGTCAGGCCTCGTCCGAAGTGCTGCCAATAACTTAAAAGAAAGAGCACAACGCATTCGGGAAAGGCGAGATCAATCTTGGAGCACCTGGTTCGATTCCAACTGGGCACACTGGGTTTTGCCTCTTATGGGTCCCCTAACTCTCCTTTTTCTAGCCCTGGCCTTCGGTCCCTGTCTCCTGCGACTACTCTCCTCCCTACTACAAGACCGACTGAAGGCCTTCACCAGCCAGACGGTGCACGAGATCATGATGCTAAGCCATTATCAACCTCTCACCAGATTCTCAGGCCCAGATCATGCTGACATGGGCCCCCTCCCCTAACGCCGCCCCTGTCCAGCTCGAAGTAGCCAGAAAGATACCTGCGCCCCTTTGTCATTATCACAGAGTCGGGAATGTCTGATTGCCTGGGGACTGGTGCCAGGCAAAGTGCTCGACCATTGTCTCCTTGCTCAGCCTTGCCTCCCACCCTGAACGGCCTGCCTCGAGCTTGTAGATTAACTCCCATCTTGCTCTTATCGATTCACATTCCAGAGGCTCCATGCATAGCCCCCGCAGGGCCAAACCCTAAGGGACAAATTCCAGCTACAAAAGACACGAGCCCCTACATTGAGCGCGGCTTCTAGGACTCGACCCCCGGAGTCTGTGAACCCGCCCGGAGTGCACCCAATAAAGCCTGATCCCTGTTTATTCGGCTGATTGGCTCTCCAGTCTCTTCTCTGTTTTATTCGGCGGCGCCTCCGATTCCTTACAATTATAATTTATAATAATTCAACAATAAGATATTTATAAATTATTTTAATATATACACACAATGAAAAATTATGAATAGTTGAAAAATTAAATAACATCTAAAATATAATTTTATTAGCCTGAAATCAGAAGTTTGAAAGAAAATTGAGGCAATGTGATATATAAAGTATGATACTATGTATAATCTCCCAAATTATCCCTATATAGAATTTTAATTATCTATAGCTATAATAAAATCATGAACACTTTTATAAGATGGATGCACACTAAGTTGTAGTTTTCTCAAAAAATTAAAAGTATAACTACCATGTGATACCACAACCAAATTCTGGATAGTTTTCACAATAGTGAGGAGAAACCCAAATGTCTATCAGCAGATGAATAGAGAAATAAAATGTGGTCTGTACATACAATGGATGATGAGCCTAAAAAGGAAACCATGTCACATGGTACAAGGTGGCTGAACCTCTAGGACACTATATTGAATGAAATAAACAAGTCACAGAAGTACAAATACTGTGTGATTCCATTCATAGAAAGAACCTAAAGTAGTCAAAGTCATAGAAACAGAACATAGAAAGATGGTTGCTCAGGTCTGGGAGTGGAGTTGGGAGATTTAGTGTCTAATGTGTACAGAGTTTTAGTGTTGAAAGATAAAAAATATTTAGAGATCAGTTGCACATCAGTGTAAATGTACTTAACACTACTGAACTGTATGGTCAAAAATGGTACAGATGATTTAAAAAATGAAGAATCATTTTCATGACATAAGATTTTCAACATGTTTTTAGATATGACACCAAACTGAAATGCAAAAAAATAAATAAATATATTGAACTTCATCAAAAGTTGACTCCTTTCCTTCCAAAGACACTGTCAAGAATATCAAGAAAGTAATGGGCCGCCCACAAAATGGGAATTTTGTGCAGATTGTATTTCTGGAAACACTCTATTACCTAAAATATTTAAAGAACTCTTACAACTCAATAATAAGAGACAAATTTCAGCCAACTAAAAATTGGCAAAAGATGAATATACATTGCTCCAAAGAAGATACGCATCTGGCCTATAAACATAGGAAGAGATGTTTAACATCAGGGAAACAAAATCTCAACCCACAATGAGATGCCACTTCTGAACCACAAGGGTGGTGGCAGGTCTTGCTCCTGTCACTGGGATTTCCCCAGGATGCCATGGCTTCTTCCAAGGGGTTTACTCCTAGTGGAGGAGGAGAAGGCTCCGGAGCCAAACCTGCATATTGCCAACCAGGTTGCTCCAGTTCCTAGTATGTGAGCTGCACTCAGTCCCCTGACCTCCCTGGGCCTACTTTCCTCACAGAAAAATGGGTGAAATGTAACTGGCTGCCATCCTCTCTGCAGAGACCCAGTGAGCTACAGGGAAGTGGAGCACCAGAGAGAGCAGGGCACACTGGGAGCACCTTCTCTGTATGAGCATCATGGTTCCATGGAGGTTTCATGGGATGACACAGATTCTACTTTGGTCACTAGTAACTCTTCCTGATTCCTACCTTATACACTGTCCTCACAAAGTGCCATTTCAAGTTTTTTTTTCTGCAATAAAGGGTTGGCTACAATGAAAGTATGAAACACATCTTCCTTTTTCTTCACATTGGGTCTATCCTAGTATATTCCTAAGACTAATGTGCAAATCTCTTCAAGATTCCACAGAGCCCAAGGAATTGGACCTGCCCACGCTCAAAGCAGCAATGGACCTCCCGTTGGCCCCTCTGCACAGGCAGGGAGATTTCAGGGTCCGCTGTGTTCAGAGATGGGAACAGCACAGGCTCTGCCTCCGCCTGGGAACTGTTGATCAAAAAGGTCTCACACAGTAGAAAGAGCCAGGCAGGTAAGGACAGGCACAGAGACACCCAAGAGGCAGGTGTGAACCTTATGATGACAACTGGGGGCCCCCCCACACAGGGGTAGAGCAAGTAAGTTCTCTTCAAACATGACTCACTCAGGGTTGCTAAGAACCCTGAAAGGGGGATGTGTTACCCTGTTTCCCCACAAAGACCCTGAAAGCAGAGAAGTCAGAGGACTAATTCACACCAGTGAATAGAGGGTTTAGGCTCGGTCTGTCACCCACCACATTTGCATCCAGTGCCGACCACCCTAGGCAGGGACACACTGGGTAGGCACATGGGAAGGATGCTCACCCGTGAGGGGTGGAAGCTACTGGACAAGCCCTGCAGCACACACTGAGTCTGGCGCACCTCCATGTCTTCGTATTAAGGCCCAGCTGGACAGGGAGGGGGCAGCAGCTGGGGAAAGTGTGGCCAATGTTTCTCTCACATCAATGTTTCTCTCTCTCTCTCTCTCCCTCCCTTCCTCTCTCTCAAATCAATTTTAAAATACATTTTAAAAAGCTGAGACATCTCCTTCACAAAGTGCCCAGCAGGGTTGGGAGCTGTGGGCCTGCCCACCACACGGGAGGAGGGAAGGCAGCAGGAGAGGGCCTGCTGGGATTCCGTGGGGGTGGATGAGGGCCCTGACATGAGTCCATTCTAACCTAAACTCTTTGTGGGGGCCAGCAGAGGGCCAGGCTGCCTTTGGAACTGGACTCTTTAGTCCCATCCTATTGCTGTTGCTGGACCACTGCCCTGGGCCACAGCCTTGCGTGCTGGGCAGAGCTGGGCCAAGCTCGGGGAGGCTCAGCCACCTGACAGACCCAGGCCAGGGCAGAGGTGTTGGCTGGGAGGGAAAGGAGTGGGGGCCAGCACATGGCCATGTGGGATCAGAGCATCCGACTGATGCTGGGACAAGGCGCTTCGCTTAGCTCCTGTCCCTTACTGTTTGCTGATCTCACTCTTACATCTGGAGTTCGGATCCCCTGCTTTGACTGTGGACTTTGTACCAGAGCCCAGAGCAGGGCGACTGAGGCCCCTGTCCCTCAGCCCTAATCTCCAGCTCCCAGCAGCCCTGGGGCCCGGACACCTCACCCTCCACCACCCCTGCTGGTTGTGCTGTGCTTGAGGAACTGGGTCACAGTTTGTTCGTAGGGGCTGTTTCCCACGCGGATATAAATCTGGGTCCGCGTCTATTCACAGAGTCCAGCCATGGTTGTAAGAGAAGAGACAGTGGTTGTGGAGTGTCCTTGAGGACCTGTTGTCCCTGAGCCGAGTCCCCCAGCTACAGATGGGTCCTCCTCCCTCAGCTGGACAAGATTCTCCACCATAGAAATCCAGAAAGGGACTTGGTATCCTCCCACCCCGTCATTTCCGGAGTATGCACCTTTTAACAGGGGCCCCGTTACTCTCCTGTCATCCCCCTTGTCCAGCCTCACTGCCTCCACCACCCTCCACATTCAGTCCTCCCACTGAGACCAGAGGGTGCTTCTCCTGTAAAGAGCCCCAGAGGCAGACAGACTGTCCTCTCCGGTCAGGCCACCCCGGAGGAGGCGAGAATCACTCAGCCCCATTGTCTGACTGCTCCCGGGGCCCCCCTCCAGTCTGGCCTTGGGAGCAGAAGTGAGGGGAGGGTCCCTGGGGGCTGGAGAGCTGTGTGCTGCCAGGACCTTCAGAAGGAGTCCCTGTCGATCTGGAAGGAGGGACTGAGGACCTGTGAACATAGCTCCCATGACCTCTGCATCCTTCCTTCCTCCCAGGTCCCTTTTCCAAGGAGCAGTACAGACCCGAGTATGGAGACACGGCCCCCAGAGCATTTTCAAACAAACCACCTTTATTCATAATTGACACATAATGCCCCAGCGGTGCTGCTCCTACCCACTCTCCCACCCCCACCCCCACAGCGGTCCTGCCCCCCCCATGTCAGTAGAGCAGCCAGGATCAGCCCCCGGATGAGAAGGAGCCCTTGGCTCCTCTGGGGGACAGCCAGGTCGCATCTAGTCTGGGACCCCAGGGGACTGGCAGCCGGAAGGCCACCCCACTGCTCCATCCTGGCCGCAGTGCCGCTTCCTCCAACCCCCTGCGACAGGCTCCTCACACTTTCTCTTCTGAGGCTGGGACTGGGCAGGTCCCCGGGGCCCGTGACCTCCAGGGCAGGCAAGGCCTGAGGCAGGGACAGGACTCAGAGAGTGTGGACAGGACAACAGGCTGTTTGGAGAGGCCAAAGAGGCCAGGTGGGGGAGGTCCTCCTCATTCCCTCGAATCCTGTCCATTGGCCTGTCCCTAACAAGAGAGGTCTGTCTGGGAATGGAGGCATCCCTGGGTCCCAGTCCAGAGTAAGTGTGCCCATCACCCAAGGGAGCAGAGCAGGGGCGTGGAGCCCAGAGTAGTGGGCACTCTTGACGTCCTGAAGAGATAGCAAAGGCTTTGGGCCTAGACAGGTGGACATCTTCTCGACAGTGCCTTTGATGGTCCTTGAAGTCAGTCTCTGGTGGGCAGGCTTTGTTATTGACTCCCAGCTGGGGACTGTGGTCAGGCCTCTGGGCATCTTGGCTGGCCACAGACTCAGAAAGACTTGAGTCCAGTTGGAGTGCACCAAGACTCAGGGGTGCCTGCACACCCTCCTCCTCCTTCGAGGCCAGACGTAGTTTCTCTAACAGCTGCAAGGGAGAGGGGAACAGTGACTGGCTCTGCACAGCCATGTGAGAGGAGGAGGAGCATGGGTGAGGGGACAATGAGGGGAGGAGGAAGGGGGTGACCCCAGGACTCGAATCCGAAGCAGACATGTGGCTCTCCTGCTGTCCTCCTGAGCCACATTCCCAGCTTCGTGTCCTTCCTTCCCCTTCTGGGCTCACTGTCCTTCTCCTTCCTGTCATCCCCTTTCTCTACAGCTCTTCCCTGTCGTCCTGCACTGCACCTCCCCGAGCTCCCCCTCCGCATGCCATGCCTTCAGGCAGGGGTGGGTGGATGGAGTCAGGTGCACCCTGTTCTGGGTGCTCCCTGCCGTGGTTTACCTGGGTGCTCCCTCCCATGGCTCACCTTGAGCTCCCCTCCCATCTCCTTTAGTTCCCTCACTCCCCTGGCTCACCTGGACAAGAGTGAGTCCTTCCTCTTGCTCTAACAGCTCCTCAACTAGAGCCAAGAGATCCAACTGTGCTTCTGGGGAAAGCAATTGTGCCAGGTATCTGGGGTGAATGGACTCCTCCACCTGGGACAGAGGGAACAAGCTATCAGCACACTTAGCAGGGAGTAACCTGTGAGTCAGCAGGACCTGGAGGAAAAGTGGAAAAGCAAAGACCCACCCCATCCTCTTGCACAAGGTGGGTCTTTTACACTGTCATGGCGTTCAGCTGCACACACACACACAGGAAAATATAGACATGTAAACACAAAAGAACACTCACATATGCATACTCCACACACCACACACACTACATGCACACATGCACACACAGACGTACAACCCTTCATGTACCCAGCTCAGGAACAATGCTTATTCTAATCTGCCTGGGAAGAACTCATGTCTGGGAGCTAGAGTGCCACCCTCTGAATGTGTAGACCCAGGAGCTCCAAGACAACCCACCTTGGTGACAAAATCTTCCTGGAAACACAGCTTGTCAATGTAGTTCAGGAGACCCGGGTCCAGGTAGGTCCCATCTTCCTCCTGCTGTGGTTCCCTTCTGTCTTCTCCCCATTCTCCATCTGGCTCCCTCACGGCTGAGTGGGCCAGTCCCACCAGCCCATCCATGATGTCCGAGTACTCTTGCATGACCTCAGGGGAGACATCACGGGGTGCCTTGGTCTCCCAGGGCCATTCACATCTGTGGGCGCTCTGGGCCCTGGGTACAGCCTCCCTGGGAATGCACTCTGAGACAGAGAAAAGAGGAGGAAGCATGAGGGACCCCAGCTTCTACCTCCCGAGCATGCTATGGTGAGGGCAGTGGGCAGTGTTGGGGAGAGAGTCACATGGGTGTGGCTGGGTCAGGCCTTGAAGCCATGTGACCTGATAGTGGTGGGGGAGAGATCAGAGGGGAGCATCCAAAAGAGTCAAGGGTGAAGATGTGTGGAACCACCAATCCATCCAGCCCGCTTCTTAGCAGACTTAATGTTGGGTCCTTTGACAGGAGGTAGGAGAGGGTTACACATGTTGACCATGTCCAGATCTCATGGTGACAAAGGTCAGCTGTGACTCTGGCTCTCACAGCGTTTTTGGTTGAAAACCAAAGCCTCATTGAAGGGAAAGGGTGGACATGGGGACAGTGGCTGTTATAGGCCCCTGTTGCCTTTGGCCATGAGCTTTTGTGGGAACCTGCTGCTGTACCTGACTGCGGGCCCACCACTGGATCTGGGAGCACATGCGAGTCAGGCCTCAATGGATCCAGAGGAGGCAAGCCCTGCACCCCCTTCCTGTGCTGCATCTCCTCCTTCATCTCAAACTCCATGAACCTAGGGGTGAGAGAGGCACAGGCGATGCTGAGGAGGGAGGAGGTCACCTGGAGCCCAACAAAAGCAGCAGCTGATGGGGGACGGGAGAGTAAGTGCCTCGCGCTGTCAGGGCTGGGCCACTGAACAGGCAGGAGCTGGCTGGGGGAGCACATTCCCTGCACAGTCCCTCTGGCCGGAATCTGACCCCACTGGGCTGGGACATTCACCCCAGCCTGTCCTGAGCCTTCATGTCAGGCCAAGGATGGGTCAAGATCAGAGGAGGGTGAAGCTTCCAAGGGAGGTAGGACAGAAGAACCCACACTCTGAAGGTGAAGGAGAGGCTTCCAGAGGGGAGAAGGGTCTCTGGGCACTGGGGACCCTGTGCTGACCAACAGCCCTCCTCCTTACATCCTCTCTTATGAGCACCACCACTGCTGGATCCTGCCCTGCAGTCAGTACCCCCTACACACACACACAGCTGTCAGGACCCAGAACCCTGACTCACTTTTCTGCCATGTTGTAATAGATCATCTGGTCAAAGTTGCTTTTGGGCTGCCATTCCTACATGGCCTGCCCTATTCCCTCCTCCGGCATGATGGTGGGCTTCAGGAGGGACAGAGACTGGAGCACTGGGCTACAGCCTGGCCTCCATCCGCATGACCTACAGAGCTCTGTGGAGCATGTTCTACCCTCATCCCCATGGAATGACTGAGCACCAACAGGTGAGGGAGGAGATGTCTGTGTGCAAAGACAAGCCTTCCCCGCTACTGTCGTTACTGCTGCCCATTCACACCAGCTCATGAACTTGGACTTAGCCTGACTCTCTACTTGCACCCTGTAGCTGGGATACCACCCTCAGACCTTCCTTCCAGTATCAGCCGGCCTGCATGTCCCTCCCACGTTCCTTTTATGTGAAAGCTCCAGGCGAGCCCCTGTGCCCTGCCCAGTGCACTCACATGAGAAAGCAGGAAAGAGCTTCTGCATCAGAATTCTGGGGAAGGTGCCTCCGGGCCAGGGCCTTGAAGTGCTGCCAACCTTGGAAGTTCTTGTACACACTCTTAGGATTACAGGAGTCATCCAGCGAGGCCTTGGAGTGGAAGGTGGCCAGGTCATCCTCCCTGGAATCCCCATGTGGCTGTGGCCCAGCGTTTACTGGGGGGATGAAGTGGGCCAGCTGGGCAGCTGGTGGTGGAGCTTGAGGAGGAAGGCTGGAACACCAGCTTCCCTCACCAGCCTGGGTGTCCCCAAAAGTCGAGGTCGGCATAATCTTCTCCACCATAGAGTCTTCCACAAATACGAGTGCAGGACATGCAGAACCCCCACAGGTGGCCACTGGAGCACTCCAATTGAGAGAGGTCTGATTCAGGACAATGGTCTGAGTCTGGGAACACTGTGGTTGCCCTGCTTCTGACCTGACTTGGACCATGATGTTGCAAGGTCCAGTCCCAACAGGGCCATGACCAGCATCTTCTGCCACCAGAGGCGTCCTGGACAAAGCTGGCAGCACCAAGGAGTGGCCAGGAACAAATGGCGTGGTCTTGAGGGGCAGCAGGTGCTGCTCCCAAGGTGGCTGGTGTGTGAGGCCAGTAGTGGGTAGGGAAAAGGGTAGTGTCATGAAAGGAATCATGGAGGCACCAGGGTTCATGGTCCCATCCACTCCCAGCACTGTAGATGCTGTTGAGACAAGGAAAAGGAATGAATGGAATAGGAAAATCAGCAAACAGGACTGAGCTGCTCTGGGTCCCCGTTAGCCTTTGGGAAATAAGAGTGATGAGTCTCAACAGGTTAGGGCCATTTGGATGGGAGTTTATTTATTTATTTATTTTTTTATCCTCACCCGAGGATATTTTTCCATTTTTTTTTTTGTACAGATAGAGTGGGAGGGGGAGAGAGGAAGGGAAAGAGACAGAGAAACATCGACGTGAAGGGACACATCGAGTGGCTGCCACCCGCACGACCAACCAGGGCCGGGGACAAACTGCAACCGAAGTACGTGCCCTTAGCGGGAACCGAACCCGGGTCTCTCCAGACCGCAGGGTGACGCTCCAACCGCTGAGCCAAACTGGCCAGGGCTGGATGGGAGTTTATAAATGTCTTCAAGTTATTGTCATGCTCCGACCTCCTGTTGAGAATTATTTCACTGGAGAGCTTGCTCCCCTTTCACCAAGGCGCCCTGCACACTGTCTGCCAAGAAGACAGCCCCAGCTGGTGCTGACTTTGAGAGCCTCCCCAGGGAGTCCCTGGCACCTACCCCTGCCAGCCCCAGAGGCTCTCCTAAGACATAGCATTGGGCAGAAATCTGCTATGAAGCCCTTCTTACAGCTCCCAACAATGGAAAGTGAAGATGCAGTAAAAATCATGTGTGAGCTCAGTGCCAGTGGGACAAAGTTTTCTGGAACACATCCTTGCTCAGAGGAACTCACGCAGACCCTAGTCCAGGAGAACAAGCTACATACCACGTGCCCCTAATTACTCAGGACAGGTGCCCTAATTTACGAATGATGCAGAAGACCATCCTCCTGCCTCTGTGCTGCTCCTCTTGCCCCCTTTGAAAAAGAATCTGCCTGTAGAGTGTCCACGGGAGAACCAACCATGCTCCACATGTTTTCTATCCGTGAAACAGTGACATGGAATATGAGCAAACCCTTCACCTCAAAGGTAAAGGGCAGGGCAGAGGGTACCGTGAGGTACACAACAAGAGGAAGTAGCTCTGAAGAACTGAGTTGCCACCGAGGGGGAACAATTCGGGACAACATAGAGAACTGAGCCCTGTCTGGGTGGAAGTCACCCAGCTGCCCTGTCCTTGTGGTATCCAGGACAACAAACAGCTCTCTGGACTCAGGACAAGGAGCTCTGGGCGGAAGTAGTGGAGGAGCTCTGGCCTGCAGCAGTTGGAGTCCCTGCCAGCCTTGCCCTCGGGGAGGACATCTCACTGTAGACTCGGCCACAGACAGCCCTGCACAGCTTTGTGGCTGAGACTACCTTCCCATCGCCCCGTTAGCTTAGTAGACTCAGTTGAAGTCCCTTAGGAAGATACTGGGGGGCAAGCTCCAGGTGCCTGAACAACAAGACCCAGACTAGGCTTTCCCATGACCCTCCTCATGCCACCACCACCACATAACCCACTATTACCCCCCACACACACACATCGAAGTGGCTTGTCTCCCCTCTGGAAAGAATCCATGTGCCTGCTGCCATCCATTCTCCACACCCAGGCATTTCCCCTGAGTCATCCTGACCCACCTCTCAGGAGCCCTGCTGTCCAGTGTGGTCACAGGTTTCCACTGGCTCCCAGCCTCCCCGGGTGACAGGTCCTTGCATATCCAGTTCTCTCTCCTTCCCCTACTTCAGTCCATACTATGTTTCCCCAGTGGAAGTGTCACATTTTAATCCCAAGTTTTGAGGGACAGCATGGTCTCTAAAACACCCCCCCCCCCCACCTACAAGCTTACCTCCTTCAGAAGCCATCTCCGCAGGCTGAAGTATGGACCACCACTATCTAGTAGCTTCCACCAGGAGAAAATTCAGTCCAGGACCAGAGAGCAACTGGTTCCAACGGATGCTCAGCATCCAGTGAAGGAGTTAAGAGTTTGAATCTAAACAGCAGAATATAGGAGTCTAGACATTCTACAGTGGGGGAGGGGCAAAGGGCAGATAGCCTGGGTGGGGGTGGAGGTGGGGCGACATTCCATGGAGGGCTCTGGCAGGTAGGCAAAAACCAGCAGCTCTTTTCAAATTTTAAGTGGTAACACAATTGGTGTGTGCCTCTTTTGGCAATGTATACATTGCTTTTTTAGATCATAGCACAAAGGCTTTACTTGATGTGCCCTTTATTTCAGTTCTTGATCCATCAACCTAGTTCTGGGTCTCTCATCCTGCTTCTTATCTGGAACTCGGCTTACTTCAATACAGCCTACACTTTCTGAACAAAATTCAAATGTATAATTTGAAAAAATAATGGAAACTTATGACCACACAGAACCCAGAGTTTGAAATTAGGACTGACTCAGCAAATCCAGCCTGTTCCATGGCTGTGTGCACATCGGTTTTCAGGAAGCAGCCCTGTGGCCCCAAGTACCGTCCAGTGCTGGAAGTTCTGCAGACTGGGCTGGCCCAACCTTACTAACAATCTCTTTTGCTCCCCGTCCATCAAGGAAAGACCTTGTAGCCAACATGGCCAAGAGCAGAGATCACTACCTTTTGTTTCTTAGAGTATTATGTTGTTCAATGTTTAAATTTTTACCTTTTAAATTATTTTAATGTAATATATTAAACAAACAATACTTTTGCATAATTCAGTCAGATTGTGCAAAATGCAAAATACAGTGATGAGTCTTTCTCTTGCCTCTTTGACCTGGTAGGACAGCCTTCTTAACCCACAGAATGCTGGTGTTATCTGTTTCCTTTAAAAGTTTTTGGAGATGTATTATGCAACTAAAAGAAAATGCATGCTATTTTTATTTTTTTTTAAATGCTCTCAGCTTTTTCTCTGGTTAAAAATTAATATTTGTTCCAATATATTTATTTTATATCTAATACATTTAGTATATACCATAATGATTGTCTTTGTAATGGTAATGTGTTTCCTCTTTTTATTTCTGGAGGCTAGGTTCCTAAAACAAGTTCTATAATCCCTAAAATTTAAAGTACATGAAAGAATAGGTGGCCAGATTTAGCAAAAAATGGATGCCCAATTGAATTTGAATTTCAGATACATAATTAATTAGTTTCTAGGATAATTGTATATTATGCAACTATGGGACATACCTTTACTCTAAATGTGTTTGCTGTTTTCTGAAATTTACATTTAACTGACATCCTGAATTTTATCTGGCAACACTACCAACCAGATAACTTATTAGCTACTCCCCCCAATAACAAGGAGAGCTTGGAGTAAAGAGACTAAATGTGCATCGTGGCTCTACCACAAAACACAATTGCACACACAGTTGAAATATGCACAATCTTTGGAAGATACGGAATTTGTGAGAACTGTCATACAACACTAAATGTCTAGGCTCAGTGGAGGTAAGGACAGAAGTAAGGGACAGGAAGGCAGAAAATCTTCTGCTTCCATGTGTTAACAGTGTTTAACATCCTAAGGTCCTGGTTTTCCTAGGCGTTGAAATTTCAGGACACATAAGATGGATGTGCACTTTGAGACAAAGCCAGAATTCTATCCACAATTTCTAACCCCAGTCACAGAAACCTGCATCCAAGTCCTAGCTTGCCTGTCTGAGCCTGGAAGCCCTGTTCATTGGCTTCTAAATTTCCTGTTTGCATCTTATAATCTTGCCCTTTGGAATCTAGGGTCATTATTGCATGTGGTTCCATCTGCATGTGATTCATGGTAGCACCCCTTAAAAAAACTTGTTGATCCTTATTTTTATATTGTACACAAATGTCAGTTTATCACTGTCAAAATGATATGAATGAGCATTTGTATTCTGGGCTATGAGAAGAGAGGATTGCTAGGAAAACTGGTCAAGGGAGATGTGGGGTGAGAACTTTGGAGGATTGCAGCCAAATCTCTTGGGAGACAAACTTCCCTCCCTGCTGTGGCAGCAGAATTCCTACTGATGGTAGGCTGTGAACACTCACTGGCAAAGACTCCATATAATACAAATTCTGCATATAATACAAAAAAGGAGGGAGGAGATGGTGAAATTGTTCCCATAGTACCTGCTATGTGAACAGAAACTGGCCCAGTCAAGTCTTGACCAATGTTATAACAACTTTGCAATGGAAACATCAGTGAATCAACATTTATTGAAAAACCTCCAGGTACTAAGGAAATACACTAAGAAAAATACTCTAGTACAGTTAATGCGTTTAGAAAAATCCTAGGAATAGAGTCAGGGGAAAGTGTCACTTAGAGTGTTTCCCAGGCCTTAATTTCTCTACCAGAACTGTTTAATGAAACATTCAGACTTGCTAGGAGAAAGGACTTAATGGTTTTAGAAACCACGAAATGCAGTCCACAGGGCATGAAGGCACCTGTCCCAATTAGAAAATATCTGCTCTAGGCAGACCTCTCCAAAACTCTCACGAGGGAGAGTTGTATCTAAGAGTATGGATTGTACAGTTGAAATTTTAAAATCCTACATGCTCCATTTCACAGGGACCAACCCGGAGGTTCCTGACAAAGTTCTTGCTGGAGAAGCTTGGCAGCAAGTCCCCACTGTCCTACAGGGACAGGTTGGTCCTGTTCTCTGGTCTCCCGGCACCTCGCGCTGGGCTGCAGGTACAGGAGCACTGGGGGCGGGGCTCTGCCCTATACCGCCTCCCAGAGTCCGTTGTGCAGTTGGCTCTGGTGCTCACGAGCGCTACTGGGGAGGGAACAGCCATAGCGCAGGCCTGGCTGGCACGGGCCTGGCATGGCCACTGGGGAGGGAAAGGCCATAGCGCGGGCCTGGCTGGCACGGGCCTGGCATGGCCAGTGGGGAGGGAACGGCCATAGCGCGGGCCTGGCTGGCACGGGCCTGGCAAGGCGGCCTCCAGGGTGGATTACGTAAACAAGCAGGTAAGGGTGCGCGCACCCTCGCCTTTCAGGTGTCGCCCCTCTCACTGTAGTCTATACTGTGGCTATTTGCGCCCCTGCACAGCTCACTTCTGGTGTTGTTTACACTTGGGCATTGGCTCCACTGGGTGCAGAGGGTGTCCAGCCTGCAGTGGGGTCTAGTAACACGTCTGAGCAGTTCGACTCGGAGGCTCATTCTGTCTCCTGCTTTCTGAGTCTTGCACGAGTTCATGGGCAGTTCCGTTCTTCCGAGTTTAAAAATCATCCACCCATTCAGCAAGACGTAGCTCAGGTCCTTGGAAATGAGTGGAATTGAGCGTGAAGCTTTCATTTACATACTGATAGTTTGACTGTTGTCTTCCTTCTTTCCGTGACAGTCTCAACCAACAATTACGTTCAGACTGCATGCACTCTTGTCAATGAAGTGAGCCACTTTGCTGACTCCATTGCAATGAAACCTGTTGTCAAATTGTGACATTGCAAGCTGAGATGGGTTTGTGCATATTTAATTGATTGGTGGGAATCTGATGTGTGTGGGTTGGTTTTGTCTGTGGATATTTGTAATTAAGGGGAGGTCATGCCTATGTTTTTGTGAGTGTGTAGGATTTAGTGTTGTACTTGAAGGTGTTGAGATGCAGTGCTTGTATACTCAAGAAGTTGGTGGTTGGGTGTTTGTAATTTGGTGTTGGGTGGGGGTTGGGGGGTGCATATTTGTATATTTGCCTGTGTCGTCCCCCCTCCCCCATGTACTATATAGTATTTGAAAAAACCGCGATAGAGTGAAGCCAGGAAAGTCGAAGGGCGAAGTGGCGAGGGACGACTATATTTGGGAATTTTTTCAAATGGCTGATTTGGAGGATTATCTTCATAGGCAAAAAGTGTTTGTGTTCATTAGCTTGGGTGTATGATCTTTTTGTTATGTATTTGGGGAATCTAGAAGGATCATTTTGTATTCAGGGCATGTTGTATGGTTATGTGTATTTCTTTCCGTAATTTTTCAGCAACTGTCTATGCATATTTCAGTGTGTAGAGGGCAGGTCTGTGACTATTTTACAGAACTTGTGGATGTTGTATATGCTAGTGTTATGTGGTGTTTTGCATAATTTGGTGTGGTGTTTGTGTGATTGTGTATTCTGCGAGATGGAAGAGGCAATTCTGTGTGAGAAGTTTAGAGTGTGAGGTTATGTATATGCAGGTAGTGTGGCCTTATATGTGTATTTGGGACATAGGGTACAGGATGCTATGTTTGCATATTTGTAGTGGGGACAGATCTGGGGCTTGCGGAGGGTTGCTAAGAGTTGTGTGTATTGAGTTTGAGTATATTCAAGGGCCATGGCCATTTGGAGGAATATTTTCTGGAGCTATGTGTTTATATTTTTCAGTAGGGCACTGGTAGGTTTATATAATTTGGGAAGTGAGTATGTGTGTATTTGATGGATAGATAGGTTTCTGTGTTACATATGTATACATGTAAATATATATTTTCATATATGAGCTCAGATATCTGTGTGCATATATGTACAACTCACTATGAGTATTCATCCAAACATAAGAAAAATAAAATATCAGAACCATGAAATTTTGAACAGAAAACTATAGCAATAAAATAAGCATTAACAGATGATTCTACTCATTCATAAGTGTTTTTTAGTATCTATTCCAAATTTCATTTGTATGCATTTATTTAAAATATAATATTTTTGTATTTCTCTTTAGTGCCCTAAGGTACATTAATATATTATGAGCTCTAAAGGAAAGCAGAAAAATAAATGTAGAACAAACTATCAAAAAAATAAATAAATAAATAAAGAGAACATTTTACTTCAGTCTTCTATTTTCTGTCATATTTTGTCTTGGCAGACCAGCTGTTTCTGACCATAGAAGGAATGTATTATCTAGAGTTGTTGTCTCAAGAAGGACAAGAAATCAAGAGATTCAAAGTGAACTT